AGTTAGACTTTTAAGTTGCCTAATTTACCCTCCCCCTCTTAGGCGTCACGGTCCTCTTTCAATACCTCTAAAACATCTACAATACTTTAAGCATACTCTTGCAACATGTCTGGAGCGACATTCTAGTGCGTGGCGACCACCATGTCAGGTGCGCTAAGGAACTCGATAACCGCTTCGATGGGCAAATCGGGGCTGAGAGGCGGCGGAGCGAAGAGCACTTTGGACTAGGCCGCCGCGAGCTTCTTTTGCTAGGGGCATCGAGCCGGGGCGCGAGGAGCCTTGAGACGGGCGTGAAGTATGGCCCGACCATGACGCCGTCACTATCTCTAGTTGTAGGAGGATGTAATGAGGAGGACGCCGACGCCGACATCGGCGATGAGGGTAGGGGTGGCGGGAGGCGTGACTCCAGCGGCGGAGCTTAGCCTCGCGGAGGTGGGCGAGGGCCCCAGGACAGAGGAAGCGGAGGTGGTCGCCATTGGCGGCACCGGACAAGGAGCGGAGCTTGCGAGGCGGAGTGGCATATTTTTTTTGGTGGCGGTGTCCGAGCGGACAGACGCCCGCAAGGCAACATTACTGCTTTATCATTGACAACACCGTCCTTGATTTTCATCCTAGTTGAAGAATTATCAAGCACATGGATGATACAAGGATGGCGAAAATGTGAGGTTTATTCAAATAAATTGGGTGTAGACATATACTACCTCCATCTACAAAAGAATGCAATTCTCGGATTTTGAGGAGTCAAACGGTCTGAACTTTGACTAAATTTACATAAAAAAGTATAAACATTTTTTATACGAAATAAGTAACATTAGATTAGTTATAGAATATATTTTTATAATAAAACTATTTAGAGACATAAATGCTAATACTATTTACTATAAATTTGGTAAAACTTGAGTTCAATTGACCGGCACGGATACTACAATTATATTCTTATGTGGACCGAGGGAGTAATCTAGTATTCGGAATTGGCACAGCACATCCTTGGATCAGGATATTTGTATTTCTTTTTGCTTATAAGAGGTACGAGTGGGCACAAAACTTGATACTTGAATTGAATCAGTAGCATCTTTCGGGTGAGTTTGAGTAGCATTTCTGGTAACTCAAAATTCTCAAAACCCTTATTTTTCAGATAACCCGAATATCCAAGACTTTTTTTAGGGGAACCCGAATATCCAAGCCTGAGAGGTATAGAATGGATTTTTTTTTCTTCTTTTTGATAATAATCGAACATACAATTTTTTTTAGGGAAATAATCGAACATACAAATGACAACAAGCAAGCCTAGAGGCCTTCTTTCGGAACATTCGAAATAAAAAGGCCCATAGCCCCAGTAAAGAGACAAGCCCATTTTTGTTCTTTTTAGCGGATACAGGCCTACCCAAAATTCCAGATGGACCTCATGCTTAGACTGGATGAGATCAGGCCCAGAATTGTCTAACAAATTTCTAACGTAGGCCCAGAAGCTTAGGAGCGTTCCTCCGCCAGACGCCAGTTCTTGCGCGCTTCTCTCTCCGTGATGGATGAGAAAGAGCATGGCGCTAAAGAACAAAAGAAGTGAGTGGTTCGGGCGACCCTCCATGGAACTATCAGGACTCGCGAATTTCGTGAAGAGAAATCGATCTGCTTTTACAAATTTTGCCCTTTTTTTTTTTTTGCTAGGCCCCAAACAGCAAGGAAAGGCAGGCAATGCAAAGCATCACGCAAGCAATGGCTAGGGGCCAGCGTGCCGGGCTGCGGAGCAAAGCGACCCCGGCACCGCATGCAACGAGTCTCCATGGCTTTGGGATTGGGAATCTTTGTGAGTGGACGGTAGGGGCCAGGCCAGGGCCATCCGTCGGGGCGGGAGCTCTCAAGTGCATCGTCCCTTTCATCACATGTTCACTTGGTCGTTAACGGAGTGATGCTGTTTTGTTGTGAGAAAAAAATATTATATTATAATTCATACGAATAACTGATACGATCAAGCGAACAGGATACATAGCGAGCACTCCTTCTTAAGTGAGGCACGGCTCCTCTTTACACGTCGCCGCGCGCTCTCGCTCGCTCTCTCGTCAAATCAAGCTAGCGCAACAGCCCATCCCTCATCATTGGCACGCGGCTAAACAAAAACAAGCAATTGCAATTTGCAAAGGGCGACGCGACGCCATTAGCGGTGATGATTTGGTGGCGCTAATCATACGAGAACGGCCATCATTAGGAGCGTTGATGGAGGGATTAGTATATAGTAGGAGTAGGTAACAAACGCGCCGCAAATATCATAGACCCGCAGGGTGGCTCTGGTTTGGACGGATATTGTGTATGTATATGCATATATATTTATGTGTCATGTGTGCGTCTTTGCCGCTGCGGTTAGTGTAGCTTTTCTTTCTTTCTTTCTTTTTTTGAAAATGTGGTTAGTTTGGCTTTGAAGCTTCGTGGCCGGGCAAGTGGCTGTGAGATGCGGCAATCATAAGCGTTGTATGGGCATGTTTGGTTGAAGGCCTGGGCATCTTGCTAGGTAAAAAATGATATCTGGAAGTTGTCTGGAAAGTTGATATTTTTTGTCAAGCTAGGCAAGTATAAAGAAGATGTGTTTGGTTGGTGCCATGGACCTGAGAAGCTATATGATTATTAAATAATATGAGGATAATATAACTTTAACACTTATGATTAAATAATATAAGGATAAATAAATTTTTTAAATGAGAAATAAGATATATAAATAATCATAATCTAGATTGCAAAATAAACTTTAATTTGATGAACAATAAAAAATCTTTTTCACGCGTTGGTGAACAGTAATATGGTTGCAATTTTTTAGCAGCAACTTGCACGTTATTTGTGGGCACTAAAAAATAGGACAGAAGTTAATTATTAGTACAAAATATGCATAGTAGCTAATTAACTTGAATTAACTTTGATGCTTTACACAGCCAGACAGGTTTGCTGGTGCCAAGCGCTCGTTTTTGGAGGCCTGGGACTGCCCTCCGATGCCTGGACCAGACAGGTGGCCAGGTCTGCATCCAAATAAATCACAGGCAAGACACAGGTAGCCATCCACCCAGGCAGATGAGCTCCAGGGCACCATCCAAACATCCCCTATGTCTCTCTCTCTGGGCGGGCGCCGGGCGGGATGGAAATTAATAAGAAATAAAACTGCCTTGCTGCATGGGCATTTTGCGGTTTGGCGCCGCGCCACGGGCCACTACTCCCTCGATCCCTAATTTGAAAACTTCAATTTCGATAGGATCCTGGACTTTTTTCTATGTTGGTAATCCATGAGGATATCATTCTAATTATCATTCTATTTCTTAGTGGTGGGTTTCCATCACTAGGTTTTGCTGCCCTTGCTTCAAAAGAGCCCTCACTTTGCCGTGTACTCGCCACTCGGAGATGCCGTGACTGTCACGAGGTGTTGGGCGGCGTGAGTTATGGGCCTGTACGCGTTTCATTGATTGGGCACCACCAGCAAGTAGCGCAACTGTACGTGTAATACTGCCTACAGCGTCGCATGTCCACGCACCAGCGGGCATGGTCCTTGCTGCCAGGATCTAGGTACCATCGGTATTGTTATCCTCTACCACTTATAGCATCGGTACAATGAGAAGCAATTCATGATTCATCCATCCCAAACACGGTGCGTTTTTTCCTCACTCAGCCCTCACTAAGAGATACTCCGTCTGTCCAGAAAAAAAAAACACAATTCTAGCTTTGAATCTTGTCCAGATTCAGAGCTAGAATTACGTTTTTTTTGGCACAGGGAGTAGAGCTTTGTAATGCCTGACACGGTACGCAGCCCATTGCAAGCATGAATCTCAAAGCCGTTCCATCCGCAAACTGCTGTTGTCTCGAGTGGTTCTGTATTTCTCTGTTTTCTTCTTCTTCTTCTTTTTTCCCTTAGTGTCTCCTCGTAACGCAGAGGCTTGGGCTTGTCCCGGATAAGACGATCACATTCACAGCTAGCGCTGTACAAATCCCATTCAAAAAATCTAAGGCAAGATCATGCACGGGCGCACGGCAGAAGCATGGAATTTACTAGCCTAGGTGCGTGCATGCCAGCCTTGCCTTGGCTCTGCACGTACGCATCATGGACGGTACACCAAAACCGTGCGCATTTGCCTATTTTTTTCTTCTCCAGTTGCCCCTGCAGTCTGCAGAGTATCAAGCCAATCATGTCAACTGTTAAGATCTGGTCTAAATACCCTCTAATAATCAGCACCTGTTGTTATTACGATGGCCACATATATATAATACTAAGCCGAGCTCCTGAAAATTTACATATACTAGTAGAACAAAGCGTACTTGGCTCATTGGCTCATTTCATAATGACGCACTTTGGCATAGAGCAATTCTCTCCTATATGCTATGCAACAATACAAAAGTACTCTTTTGATTGGATCGGCCTAAGCTAGTGGTGATGGATGATCATATATGAACTACCTAGATTTTAATTTTTTTAGAAAAAAAAAATTAATCTATCTAGCTTCAAAGAGAAACCAGTAGTAGATTATATAATCTTAAGAAAGTATATTCATAAAAAAAGAGCAAGGACCACATAAAGGACTCTCGTATGATTAGTTCTCCCAAATCCGAATAATTTAGCCTCTAAACACTACACCAACACATGAACCGAACACCACGCTGATCTCGATGTCACTGCAAACGTGTCCAAGCAGCATACCGTTGTTTACTAGAGTACAGCCCCAGCATGGCAACTAACACACACATCATTTTTGTCGACACGTCAGCATCACGACGAGATTATGCAGCTGTGAGTGCATGTTGTGGCATAAGCTTTTTCTCCATGATGACGCTTAGTTTCTTAAGCGCTGGCTGGCACCAACTGAAAGCTGGAGGCCGGCCGCCTGCTTTTTAACAAACACCTAGTATAAACAGATCATCATCACTCTCCCCCTCTCACACACACACACAGACACAGCACCATGCTTCACAGGAGGAGCCGCACGCTGGGAGGGAGCTCAGATCGAGCTGCTGCGCGCCGAGCTGTCGCGACGATGAAGGGCGGGAGGGGCAGCAATGGCGCGGGCACGGACCTGCTCGTCTGCTTCCCGTCGCGGGCGCACCTCGCCCTCATGCCGCCCAAGGCCATCTGTAGCCCGTCGCGCCCGTCCGCGTCCGAGCCGGTCAAGCGCCGCCACAGCACCAGCCGGGCGGGGCCGATGCCGCCCAGCGGGCTCTACAAGTCGGCAACGGCCAGGAACCCGAGCCGGCGCGGCGCGGCGGATGTCCCCGTGGACAACGAGCCGACGTCGCCCAAGGTGACGTGCGTGGGGCAGATCAAGGCCCGCCCGGCCAAGCCCAAGGGCCCCGGCGGCGGTGGCGGTGGCGGTGGCGGTGGGAAGAAGACCAAGAAGGCCACGTGGCTGCAGGCGCTGGGGATCAAGAAGGATGCCATGGCGCTCTTGGACGCCCTGCACGGCGCTTTCAGGTTCAACGTCGCCGGCTGCTTCGGCAGCTTCCCCGGCGCCGTGGGAGTGGGGTACACTTCCGGGGAGGATGACGACGACGAGGAAGACGATGCGCCGCGCACCGAGAAGAAAACAGAGCACGGCGCGGCATTGGCCCGGTGGTTCATGGTGTTGGAGGAAGGCAAGAAGCTGCAGGGACAAGAACCGGAAGAGAGCCAGGAGGAGGACAAGGAGGAAGACGCGGCCCCGCCGGCGAACGCTCTGATGCTGATGCGGTGCCGGTCGGCGCCGGCAAAGGGATTAGTGAGGAGGCTAGAGGCAAAGGAGTGCGAGGATGTGAAGAACGCCAAGAAGACTCCAGAGGAAGAGAAGGAGAAGGAGGGCCTAGTGCTCATGACGTACTCGCCGGACTTCTTCAAGGTGTCCCTTGACATTGCCAAGGAGACTTGGATCGTCGGCGGTGATGACGCGGTCCTGCGCTGCCGGAGCTGGAAGAGATGATCGCAATGATCGTACAACAAGGAATGTATGTGCCTTTTGTTTACCTTTTATTTACTCCTTGCTTGCTTTTTTTCTTCTTCTCCTTTTTTCGCCCCTCTTGAGAATTCTACTACTCTGCATAAGGCTCGTGTGAAGGGTATGATCAGCACACAGCAGAATTGGTTTAGCCAAGGCCACTGTATTGGCCTCTCTGCAAAACATTTCTGCTCTGTAAATAGTGCTGTAACGTCCCTTGTTAAATGTTACCCAGGTATACTTGGCCGGTGATATGCCAGACTGAACAGTACTGGCCTGTATGATGAACTTGACAGCTCATCCTTTCGTGCTAGTAAAGTTTCTCTTTGGCATTCAGATAAAATTCTCTAGATGCTTTACTCTGGCCTAATGATGGACCAGAATCTCCATGATGAACTTTTCAGAATATCTCGTTTTTCTTCCTGGAAACCGAATGCTTTGTTGGCATGGTTCATTGGCTTGCCTCTATTCAGCTCATATGAGCTGTGAGGAAACGGCAAGACCAGGCCCTTTTACGGACAGAGCCTACAGAGATGTCGGTCTGTCGGATTTAGCTGGAGCTTTCATTTTACCCAACAAGGCCATGCTCCATGTTCCAACAAGAAGTGTACTTGCCTTTGCCCACCGGCAATCACTGTCTCAGCTATCATCTGATGGGCCTAACAGAGAGAATAAACAGGTTGATTAAAGGAGGATTTAAGTCTGAGATCCACGTTGATGAAAGTGATAGCTTACTCGCAAAGCTTGCATTACTACTAGTCCTAGCTAGGGCCCGTGGATTGTCAATCTTACTTCAATTCTTCAGGCAGTGAAGTTGAGTCACTTGGAAGTTCACCGAAGCAAGCTGCATATTTCAGAACGCTTGACTGACAACTGACAACCAAGGTGTAAGAAACATGGACGCTAGCAAGAGTTTAGTTTAGTGATTTTCGTGATTGAGTGACAATATTGTTAAATTATTTTAACTAAAATGTGCTCCATATAGAAAAGTTTTTTTTATAAAGGATCTATGTGTGATGGTTGCTAGAATAAAGGAATAAGAATTATGGGTTGAAATACCTTCTCCCCTCTCCCTTCAAAAAATAACTATTGTGTGAACCAGGACACAAAGATACAGAGAGCTCGCATGAAAGTGGTATCATACAGTTGAATCAATTTGTAGAGGGAAGAGAAATATTTCCAAGACACAAAGAGCTCGCAGGGCGAAAGGTAGGTATGTGCGGTGTAGCACATGAACGGTTGAGTTGTGCTATGCACACATGAAAGTGGTTTCATACGGTTGAATCAATTTGTGTTAATACGATCTTGTAAAGCTATTCTTCAAAAAAAAAAAACGATCTTGTAAAGCTTCCTCTAATTTTAATGACTTTGCTTACATTTGGTACCAGAACCAAGTTTTAGCACATTTGATTTACTATGATAGTTTCTCTTAGCATGACAGGTCTAGAATTTTGTTATGGGGGCATGCCACACATAAATTCTATATATTCTAATTCGATAAAATACATTTAGCAATATGGTAAACATATATAAAATTTGCTCCACAATTTGGTACAAAGTACAATCTGACATGATACTTACATTCAGTAATTAAGTCTAAGCGGTGCATAATTACAACACAAACAGATTAAAAATACCATATCAATAGTTGAAAATACGCTAGCCCATTCACTAATTCAGGTCAGGAGAATCTAACCATGATCATCCAAATCACTACGCACATAAACATATTGGACTAGTAACACAATGAGTACAGGACCAACCTATATGCGTGCGGCTACTGCTAATTTAGAATCCTTCATTTAGAACAACTTGTGTGTGAGTCTGTGCATCATCCACAATTCTAGTACATGGCAACCTACAGGAGAGGATATGGAAGGGACAAAGGACAGATTGAACAAAAAAGACAATACCTACTACGAGTCTGCTGTGCCATATTCCTGTGACTCGGTGGCTGCGGCCTGGGGGCTGGGGCACCACGACAGCTGGAAGACGAAGGCAGCGGAAAAAGGCTAACCTTGCGTGTAGTGGGTAACCGCTCGGCGGGAGGCAGGACTGCCAGCCAGCGGCCACCGGTTTCCCGTCGGTCTCGGTCCTGTACGACGTGCGGCTGGCCGTGCGGGCTTCGGGCGTGAGGCGGAGCGGCCGATCGCTGGCAGGGGGTGACGATTCGATCACGATCAGGAATTCCAGATCCAGGCGGGATGACTACGCGGCGTGGATGGAAGACGAGATGAGACCAGCGAGGGTAACATAAACATGGGCTGTGCTGGGCTGAATCTGTAGGGTATGGGTGGCCCACCCAGCATACCCTATAGATCCGTTCTTGCTGTCACTTATAATGTCTTGTATGTACATGCCATGCTATGTAAAAATATATGCAACATAAAAGTTTATTGTGTTGTATATATAGAATGATATGACTGATGTGAGTGCTTATCTATATGTTTTCCTATGGTTTTGAGTTAGTAAGACTTGTTTTCCAAACACAAGTTTTGCTTCATATAACATTGCACTATATGGCATTAAGATGGGCTAAATTGTTATTGAGAAATGTGATGTATTCATTCGAATGTTTCCGAATGAATGAAAGCTCATGTAACAATAAGTATAGATTCTTGTCACTAAATGTTTTACTGTTCATGTACAATGGTAAGGATCATTTTATTTGTTGTCATATCTCTTAGTATTTTATTGGGAATTGAATCAATTGAGAATTTAGCTCTTTTCTAGTGTTTGTGATTCAACGTGAAAGGATATCCTATCTCTTTGCTAATAGGGTTTGTGAAGGAACTTTAGTGACAAAGAATTCTCTTTCCCATGAACGAAGTCATCTTTCTAAAGGTTTGCCAATAATTGCATGGATAATGAACGAAGAATTTGTCTTACCCATCTATTTTCTTTAGCGCAAACTCTAGGTTGATTTTCTTCCGGCATGCTTTCTTGTACAGGCTTGGTGCAATGTTTCCTGCCGCTACCCCCATTAATCCAGCTAGAACACCAAAATGATGCTTTATTCCCCTTCCCAATCGAGACATGTGTTAGAGCAAAAAAAAAAGCGCTTTGATAGGAGTTGGGTTTCGCTTAGTCGCAAATTAGTTTTCGTGTAATAGCCCTTTCTGCTTTCTTCGGGTGTTTCTTCCTCCGGGTTTCTAGACCTTCCAAGGCATCTCGCCTAAGTGGGTTCTAGACATTTGTGTATTGCTACCTTTTTAATGAAATAAGTGCGGTGGCAAGTTCACAAAAAAAAAAGGTTTGCCGTGGAAAGTTGGAGTCGCAGAAAAAAAGGTTCGTGGAAAGTTGGAACCGCTTGTTAGTTGTCACTTCTGCGACAAGCTCGACAATGATGATGTACAACTATCTCCATCTTTTAGGGTTTGCAGCTGAGCTTTTTAGGATGCTTTGGGTTTAGTCGTTTGGTTCTCGTGCTCATTTTTTGGTTAATTTTCCTCTAATAAACCATGCAATTTTGAGGTTTTTGGGCCTGTTTTTGTTATATGGGCATGTTTGGATCACCCAACTAAAGTTTAGCTAGCTAGCTAAAATTTAAGTAAACTTTAGCTAGCTAAAAGTTCTTTCAACTAAACTTTAGCTAGGGTGTTTATATCCTCTAGCTAATAGACTCAGTTAAACCTTAGCTGGGTCGAAGTAGCTAAATTCAGCTAAACTTTAGCTGGTCTTTTAGCTCGACCGTTTGGATCCTTAGCAGCTAAATTTAGCCAGCTAAAGTTTAGTCTGTGGATGTAAAAAGGCCTTACATCGGACCAGATCCTTTTCTTTTTAGGTGAACATCTTCGAAGATGTTTGTTAAAAAAAATTATAAAAAAGTATCAGTCAAAAATTTACATCTGAAATTGTCATATGAAAACAAAAGCAGAACGGTTGCAGTTGCAGCAAAAAGAGGGCCTTGCTCAAGGCAACAATCACATAATTTAGATTCGAGATGATCATTCATTTTTAGAGCAGAGCCTTCAGTCTGTTGTTGTTCAGTTTCAGAGCCAGATTAACTGAATCTTCACAAATCTCTGGGATCCGTCACCGGCATCCCCCACAACCAAATACATCAGCTTTCTTTTCGCAAGGAACCAAACACATTCAACTAACTACACATCACACTGGAGCAAGTATTATGTACAGTTCCATTTCTTGATTCTCTTTGCAAATTGGTGTATGGTGAACAAAAAAGCATACAGATTTGGTATAACAAACTGTGCAACGGCGCGTGCAGAATTGTTTTGTCGAAAACCTTGTCCTCTTCAGAAGTTGCGGTTGATTTCTCTGGTAGCCGACAGAATAAAGAAACCTGCAAAGAAGAACAGGTTATCCTATGATCAACATGCCAAACTTTTGCTTTAAAGAACATGGTGCACAGTCAAGGAATCTGCCGGATTTTCTAATCACTCCTTATTTGTTTGTTTATCTACGCGTGACCATCTACCACCTATTAACCAGTTAAAATTTAGATAGATAAAGAGAACCGAAGTTTGTTAGGACCGACACTTGAATCATTAGTCCAAGGAATATGAGTGCGCTCTTTTAATTGTAGTTTTTCTGTATCAGTGTATAAACAATCCAACACCTATTTTGCAGGCGATTTTAAATATTTCCCCTGTTTACAAACACGCAGAATACGAGCTGCAAGAAGAACTTGAGAAGGGACATGTAGTTGCATGACGTCAGTGCTGAGATCTGGCTGCTGCGCCCCCATTCCTTTGGCCCTTGAGCTTGGCTTCGACCTCAGAGAGAGCCTTCTTCACGTCCTCATTCTCCGGCAGTTCTTGGATCAGGACCTGGTAATCTCTCAAGGACGCTTCCCACCTCTCCAGCTGAACACACACAACACCACCAAAAAGACAATGGCAAAAATAAGACCACCCGTTTGCGTTTATTGCAGTGAAAAGCTTTTCCGCACGGGGAGACTGCAGTTGCAGTCGTGTAGAACAGCAGCCATGTCCTACAGCGCACCTTGACGTTGCAGTCCGCCCTCCTGAGCCGCGCCTTGCTGTACGAGGGGCGCACGACGAGCGCGCCGCTGCAGTCCTCGACGGCCTTCTCGTGCCGCCCGAGCTTGGCGTGGCACGCCGCGCGGTTGCAGAGCAGCACGGCGTTGCCGGGCTCCCTGTCGAGGCCCTCGCCGTACGCGGCGCACGCCTCCACGAACTTGGCGGCCTTGAAGAGGTCGTTGCCACGCAGCCGCGCCGCGGCCGCCGCCTTGGCCCTCCTCTGCACGACCGTCACCTCCCGGTTACTCGGGTCCAGCTGAAACGCCGTCTGCGCCGTCGCCACCGCGTCCTCGAACCTATCGTCACGTGGTCACGACAACTCAAGCGCCAGCCACGGCCACGCCACCTTTTTTTTTTTGAATGCGTTTCTGAGGAGGAGCGGGAATGAACAGACCTTCCAGCAGCCATGTCGACCTGAGCTCGCGCGATGAGGAAGTAGGCGTGGCCGAAGGTGCCAAAGAACTTGGTCGACTCGTCGACGCCGAACCTCGGCGCGGCGGCGCTGCTGAGAAGCGAGTCCGCGTCGTCGTGCCGCTGCAGCCTCAGCAACGCCTCGGCTTGCAACGCCATCACCTAGCAGAGTTCACCGCGAGAAACACGTTTGTCAGAACGCTAGCCGCACGTGCAGTGCAGGGTTCACGGTCCACGGAGCTGTGTGGCACATGTCGTGGCGGACGAGCGCTGACCTGAGGAGCACAGTCGGCGCCGTCGGACACGGCGGCCTGCGCTTCCTGGAGCACCGTGATCCAGTTCTTGAGCCTGCGCGCGTCGCTGCTCTTGGCGATGCGGCTCTTCACCGACTGCGCACGGGCAACGTCTGCCTCCGCGGATTCGTTGGAAGATTGCTTGAAGTGGTAGATGGCTTTGTCAGGTTCTCCTAATCTGAGCAACACGTAAACGAGTTGATGGGTATCATAAACCATCTGATGTTTCAACAATTCTATTCCATCTCAAACTCATTATGCTATACAATGAATTTCCATGCATATAATTAGCCGATTACCACAATTCTATATTAAGTAGTACAATGGTTGGCATCTGATTCGGTGATTCCTAATGACATTCTAAACAATTTGCTGTGTAGAGTAGAGTGTAGGAAAATGAAGGCAAAGACTTGTTCTCTGACAGTTTTCAATTAGTGCAATCATGAACTTGAAAAGGAGGGGTAAGCATGCTTGCCGAGGAAGTGATTAGTCATTCAAAGCACCAATCATCAATGCTTGCCGAGGAAGTGATTAGTCATTCAAAGCACCAATCATCAATGTTTATCTTACAAATTGCTAGCGTAAATTAAGGCAGAAGGTTGTGCACTTGTGCTTGACCTGCTAATCCAATGATCTAATGTACGTTCCAAAGGAGCACATGAGGAATAAAGTAATGCCATGATCTAATCATCAAGGGGTTGTAGTAATTGCAGTTGTGAAAAAGGTGGAGCCGTGGAGGCGACCAAGAAAGGATAAATCTGTTCCTACGCACCATCTTCATCGTCCTAAAACCAAAGTGCACGGTGACGTAGAAGTAGATACTCCACTATCAATTTCATTTTAGTAGCTAAGAATTATTTGATTGCTTAGTAGTTGTTATAGCATGCCATGATTCACATGAGTATTTTTTATAAGGTGCATAAAATTAAATATTTTTAGCAACTTTTAATCCAATGGTGCTAATATTTTGTTTTTGTAGTCATGACTCATGAACAATATACTTTGAACAAAATTAACGGTCAATGTTCAATTTTAGATGCCGGGCAAGATGAAACTATGATGTACCAAAAAAAATTATATGTGCGCCATATAAATGGCCCGTGATGGAACGTTTGAACGTGCACGGTTGAGTTCAACTACCATTGCACACCAAAAAAAAAATGAAAAAAAGTAACAAATGCAAGCACTTACTCCACGGAGACTAAGATCACAAAGTCTAGTACTGTAGTACTTTATAAAATCAGATTCCTTTGTTCAATATTGTAGCAGCATTAAATATTTTTGATGAAATAGCAGCATTAAATATTGCTAATTAAAAGCGCAACTGGCACTAATATCAGATCGTATGTAGTATAATTAACAGATAAAAATAGACAAGATGCATGCACTGTCACGATACAATTGTTGACGAAGAGTTGAAACAGAATTGGACCAATGACACGACGGAGGGGAATGACGAAATTTGCAATGCCTTTGATTTGAAAATCGACGAGATGTCCCACGTACCTGAGGTACAAGCCGCCAAGCCGGTGGTGAGCGCGATCGTACGAAGGGTCGATCCGCACGGCCTCCTTGCAGTCGCCGACGGCCTCGATGAGCCGTCCGAGCGCGGCGAGCGCGGCCGCCTTGTTGCTCCAGTACGCCGGCCGCCTCGCGTCCATCATGATGGCCTGGTCGTAGAGCGCCACCGCCTCCGAGTAATGCCCCTGCCGGTACTCCTCGTTGCCCATCTCCTTGAGCTTCTCGGGATCCGTGCGGTGCGACAGCGCCCGGCACAGCTCGCCGCCCCCCGCCGGCCTGGGCTCCTTGACGATGTTCCCCATGCCCGAGAACGCGTACCCGTTGGGCGCCTTACGCTCGTTCGTCGCCTTGGCGGCGCGCTCCACGGAGTTGCGAGCCGGCGCGCCGCCGCCGCCGCCCGCGTTGAGGTTGCCGAGGTTGCGGTGCAGCATCATGTTGCCGGACGTGGCGCGCACCAGCTGCGTGGTGCCCTTGACCCTCTGGTGGTCGAGGATCATCTTGTCCAGCTCTGCGGCCATGCCGGTGTACTCCGCCGCCGGCTCCACGGCGGGCCTCGGTCCGCCGCCGACGGCGTTCGCCACCTTGGTGATCGGCCTACTCCTGTCGTTCGCCGCCGGTGCCGCGGCGCGGGCGACGGCGCCGTTCCGCGCCGCCGGCACGGGCATGGCGTTGGGGCGGCGCACGAGGGAGGAGGAGTCGTGGTGCACGCCGGGCTTCCGATGATGCGCCGGGTTCGCCGGTGCCGGCGCAGCGTTCGGGGCCTGGGCCTCGGCGTCAGAGGAGGCCCCGTTGATCCGGTGGAGGGAGGTCATGGATGCGGAGCGGCGGCGGCGGAACATGCCGCTGTAGATGCCGAACATGGCGCAGCCGGTCGGCGGCGGCGGGTCGCGCGGCTCCGTCATGGCGACCATGACCGTGGCGACGTTCGCGGCCGCGCGGCCCCGCAGAGTGCTGCGTCGTGCGTCGTGCGCGCGGGGAAGGGCAAGGCAGGGGATGTGGGCAGTGCCAAAGATGAGAGGCAGGCAGAGCCAGGAGGTGTGCTGGCCGTTGGCTCCTGGTTGGCAACCAACGACGACGGGTTCCGGACTTGGGGTGGGAGTGTGGGAGCACGCGGATTTTAAACTGCATATGTTACAAGAAGAAACCCCCCTTGTGTGTTTTTGGAGCTGGGACCGTGGGCCCTCCTGTGCAAGTTCTCAGTTTCTTCTTTCATTTTCAATTTTAATTGCTTTTTCTCTCCATGCATCCATCCTTTTTTGTTTTGGAGATGTGTAGTAGTCTCCATTGATTGCTGTGGAGTCATGGATACAAGGACCATGCATGGGTTTGTTTTGTGAATGGCTTGGTTAGGTCAAACGTCTAGATTTTGGTAGTTATGGTGGCATCTGGTTTAGTTTGGACCGTGTTTGCAACGTTGTTTTTGTGTTCAAACGGAGGCACGCGCGCAATTAGAAAGTTGGTTTATAGCAAAAACAGAGCACTAGAGAAAGCAGTACAAAGCAGATGGTCCGGTGCGCATAGTAGAGACAATAATAGAGGGCTTGAGTACGTGTGAGCATGCCGCATTTGACCAAGGATGAGACGTGTTCATGAGCCACATCACCTGCTCTAGGCGGCTAGGGAGGCAAAAGAAAAAAGTCAGAAGCTTTTATTTTTCTCTCTATAATCTCTCACAAGTTTAGTGCTTGTTTAGATGTTTTTGGATTGGCAAAATTTTTGGCTCTAATCTTTTGCTGCAAATCTTTAGGCATTTAAATTTTATATCTTGGTGTTTAGATGCATGACAAAACTTTAACATTGTACCTAACAAAGACTGATTTGTCCTCATTTAATGCATGATTTGCTTCATTAATTGTCAGCCATGCATGCCCTTGCTGTTGCTCGCCTAGTTGCTGCTCAGCCTTGCTATTGCTCGCCGAGTTGCTGCTCGCCGTCGTTGTTGCCATGCCCGGCAGTGTTCACAAACAATAAAAAATTATACTCTATTGCACAATTATTGAATAGTTCAAGTACATAATTCAATTATCCTCAACCATACAAATCAATCACACACGTTACAATTGAAGTATAACATTCAAATTATCATGCTCTATTTAGCAAACAAGAGCTATTTGGTCACGAAAACCATTCATGATTGCAGATTCATCCCTTGACAGGGTTCTATGAGTACGTGGCTCAGAGGTCGATGCCTTAGGTGGAACATAGTTCTCATCACGATCACAACGATTAAAGTCCCTATCCACTAGCCCACTCGTTCTAAGAAGTTATGGAGTGCCATGCATGCAACGATAATTTGGCTTTGCTTGTGAGGTGCAGAACTTATCAATGTGAGCAAGTGTACATCTAACTAGATGTGAAATAGCATACAAGCATTTTGGCAAGTACCTTAGTGTTGTCTTCTCACCATTGATCAGTGGCATCAACAGTACCATCATCTCTACGGCCTAAGCTAGTGTGATTGCGCAGTCTTTGTATGAATTGCCATAGTCCCTTCAGTTGCCTAATCCTATTAGCGATCTGCACTACATCATGGACCAAATTGGTTGCTGCAAGTACTTTAGCGTTCGGAAGGATCTCTTGGATCTTGTCGTCTTCGGCATCATTCTGGTGGTTGATGTCGAAGTTATCTTTCACAACAGCTGACGTCGCGGGTCGTCAACGTCCACCGCGGCTCCTGGATCCATGCGAGCCGCGCACGCCGGCGGTCACAGGAGGCAAGGGAGGGCCACGGCCACCACCGTAGGATGACGACACAGCGCGTGCGGCTGTGGCGCCTGCTCCACCGCCATTGTGAGCCGCGCGTAAGTTGAGGGTACGACTATGTCGACAGAATATCGTCGGCAGTCCTCCGAGGGGTATCCCACGAAGGTAGATTGATCGGTAGAGGAGCGTGAGATCAAGAACAAGAAGGCAACAGAGACACACACGAGTTAGACAGGTTCAGGCCGTCAGTATGACATAATACCCTACTCCTATGGTATGTTGGTTTGTATTAGCTATCGTATGATATTGCGTGAGTTTAGAGGGGGTCCCTGCCCACCTTATATAGTCCGGGGAGCAGGGTTACAAGTCGGTTAGATCTGAGAGATAACCAGAAAATAATAACTGATTACAAGAATCTTGGGATCATACATATCCTAACAGATCTCGTAGTATCTTCGGGATATCTTCCAGATGTCTTGCGAAAGGCGCCGAGCAGAGTCGTGCCTCGCAAGGCTTCGTCTTGTGGGCTGGGCCGCCCCTGAGGGCGCAGCCCATGTGGTCTGCCGTGGGTATCCGGGGTCATACCCCCCACAACTAGTCCCCGAGCACCTTGTACCTATTGTGCAACGCCGTCTTGAGCTTGTCCGAGCAGGTGCGAACGAAGCCGAGCAGTCAAACACATGGTCCGATCACCGTGATGTGTTGCCGAGCAGTTGTGAGCAGTTGCCGAGTAGCGTGTACTGTCACCGAGTAGCACGAACCATAGCCGAGCAGCATAACCCAAGCACGACTTGCCATAAGGGTGTAAGGAGCTCAAGTTCAGAATCAAAAATTTCTTCACAGTGGACCAAGTGTGCCCACTTAGAGTCCGACCACGAGAAATGGAGATAGTCTTCTTCAGCTTCAAGAGGCGCAGAGTCTTCCAGAATAAAGCAAGCACATACACCGCGAGGTGAAGTGTGCCCACTTAGTCCCTGAGCCTGACAGTAGATGATGTAGTCATGTGGTGCCAGGGTCCAAAGTAGAAGAATAGTAAAAGACCAGCTGAGCAGGCAACCAGTCCTCGAGCGTAGCCCTCAAATGAGAGAGAGCACATTCACCGCAAGATGAAGTGTGCCCACTTAGTCCCTGAGCCTGATAGTAGGTGACGCAGTCACGTGGTGCCAGGGTCAGAAACAGAAAAATAGTAAAAAGACCAGCCGAGCAGGCAGCCAGTCCCTGAGCCGTTTACGGAGATATATGAAAAACCCAACCGTGGATAAAAAATCGGAGTAATGGCTGTACAGTAACTATTACTGAGCCTCAATAAATGGCAGAGAAGTCGGCGATTATTCGACGAGTGATTACCAACGGCGGCGATAAATGAGCGACGTGCGTTGCGGTTGCGTGAAAGCCCAGGTTATGGCCCATTAAGCCGCATCGGAGAATTCGGAGGGGCGCAAATCGTGGGAACGGTTTCCCAAAAACCCTCGAATGCGAAAGGGTGGGGAAACTGCTTTATAACTGCGCCGCCGCATCCCGTGTTCCTACCTTTGCCACTTTGTTGTTCCGTCTTCATCCTCAGCCCTCACATTTCCAAATTCACATCCACGCACGCTCCCGACGCCAGTCCCCATCCAGATATGAGAGATGGCGCCGAAGAGGAGAGCTATGAACCCGAAGAAGGTGAGCCCAAAGAAGGCAGGTGCCGGAGCCAGCCGTGACGAAGAATGGGTGTCGTCGCACACGGGGGAAGCGGAGCTCTAGAGATTGGTGGAGGCGGGCGTGCTTCCTGACCGCATCACCGCCGGATGGTGGCCAGCCAGTGGTGAGCCCTTCCCGATGCCTAACACTGATGAAGCTATAGTCTTTGAGGATTATTTCTGGCGTGGGTTGGGGTTCCCTGTTCATCCTTTCCTATGGGATCTGCTGGTGTTCTGGACGATTAGTCTGTGCAATCTCCACCCCAACACCATATTACACATCTCGACCTTTATTCATTTCTATGAGACGTTTCTAGGGGTTCTGCCGCACTTCAACCTCTTCAGACACCTATTCTGGTTAAAGAAGAAGGGCGGCGGTGGTTCCAAGGTGGTCGGCGGCGTATATCTATAGCTCTGGGATGGGATGGCTAGCGAGTACATTAATGTACCACTGAACACTTCTCTGAAAGGGTGGAACTCCAAGTGGTTCTACATGAAATAGAGTCACCCTGCAATCCGCTGCGACATCCGCCATATCCCGGAGAACCAGAAAAGCTAGTCGGAGAAACCGAACAGTGCTGACATGGAGCAAGTAAGGGAGTTCCTCGACCTGATTAAAGGCGTGGAGATTAGCGGTGAACTAGTGGCGGCGAGCTTCATAGTGCGCCGCGTCCAGCCCTGCAAGGAGAGGGCCTACCCGGGTTTTGATTACAGAGGTGATGATGATGGGACCCAGGAGAGGACGGAGCGGCTGACAAAAAATTGTCCTAGAGCGGGCCGCAGAGCTTTTCGCTCCCAACGCCTCATTTAGCTGGCCAAGGCAAACGAGGGCCTTCAATTGTACAAATCCGCCTCCCCAGGTAACCATCTCGATTGTTTTTTCCGATACTTTTAATCCTGAAGCATTGCCGAGCAGTGAACTGATTCACTTATGCAAAGATTCATTCACAGGAAAGAGCGGTGTACTTCTCCAATGTGCCGAGGGGTGTAGATGCTCGACCACCGGCTCGGCCTAAAAAAGATGTGGCCAACGCTCCATCAGAGTCCGGAGGCACCGACACTGGTTGGACGGAGAGTTCGCCCCTGGTATCGGAGAAAGTCCGAGGGAAGAAGGCAGCAGCAGACGAGCCAGCCCGGAAGAAGAGAAAGACGGCGATCGCCGGTCCCCTCAAACCGGGCGGCATCTCGCTTGGTGGTGATCAGACCACTCAAACACGAAGGACCGCAGTGTTCGAGTGGTCAGATGCACGAAGGACCGTAGTGTTCGAGTGGTTAGATGATGACGAAACTTCGGTGGCTCCTCCACTGAACACAGAATCACCTCTGCGCAGCACGTGTGCAGAGGAACAAGCAAAGAAAGGCGAAAAAGTCCCTGAGCAGCGGGCTAGGGGAGTCCCTACGCAGCAGGCGATGGAAGCCCACGAGCAGCAGGCAACGGGAATCCCCTAGTAGCAGGCAGAGGAAGTCCTAGAGCGACAGGCGGAGCAGAGGCCAACGGTGGAGGAGACGGGACCTCCACCCCAAAG